CCCTAAAAAACATTTTGACCCCTAAAACCCCTTAAACCTTCATAACTAAACCCTTATAAAACATAATTAACCCAAACATAAATAATATAAAGAAAAAATAATTTTGAAAAAGTGGCATTTTTGCAAAGATTACAAAAGTGTGGCATTTTTGTAAAGTGGCACTTGAAAAGTGGCATTTTTAAAAATTTCTCTATAAAATTATATAAGGTTTCATTATATAATCTAACCAAAAAAAAATCAAAATAAATTTTAATACAGATTATAATATTATATAAGGGCTCATTTATAATCTAACCAACAAAATTATTGAAATTTCCAAATCAAAATAAATTTTAATACAGATTTACTTAATTGATGGCTATAACAGTTTGTTTATGGAATGATAAATATATCAATGGATTATTCCATACTTCCAAGTCCCAATGATATGCCAATATTTTTAAAATTCCCCCATATTTTTTCCCAAACCTACTACTATAAATATGTATCATCCACTCTTCCTTTAGAATCATAAAAAAATGGAGAAAAAAGTGATTTGAGTTTTCTCCCTCTCCGATGTTCGGTGTTTTTACTGGTTTCGTGAGAGGGAGATGGTTGTAACTTTATGTTCGATATAGAGTTTAAGGGATGTCCATGATTTYTTTTTTTTTTTTAGTTGGAAGACGATGCGATGTTATTCACCGTCTGACTTTTTTAGATCTAGTTTGTGATTCCCTTCATTGGGGTTAGTTTGTGATTCCCTCATTGGGTTTAGTTTTATGGGTGAAATTTTTGGTTGAGGTTTTTTTTTCCTCGTAGAAGATCTATAGTTTGTTAGTATCTAGTCAATCTTGGCTATCTATTTGATTTAATTTTTACAGTTCAAAATTGTCCAACGGCAGCTTCGCTTAAGCCAACTCGGAACAAATTTGACAAAGGCAATCAAAGAAGGAGATTTATCTAAAGTAAGAGAATTGTTGTCATATTATCGTAATAGATATTGGATGTCCGGCTGCTATTGTAGATTCAGAAACACCTACTCGTCTACCTTCGATTCGAAACAATATCATCTTAGTATTGCTAATGTGTCGTCAACGATTATTGTCCTCACTTGATTTCTGGTGCGGAAATGACCATTAGTTTCTCTTTGTATCGCATATGTTGAACTTTTTCAATGATGTAATCTATTCTAAACCAATTCCAATAAAATAAAGCGTTAAAAAAATCATAAAAAATGTTTTTTCATTTTTACTTTATATGAATGAATATAAAATTAATATTCAAACAAAAAAGTTTTTACAATAATTGTTACATAAATTAAAAAATATTAAACGTATTTTGGATGCAAAGGCCAAAACATACGCTATGTTTTTTCACTTTTCAATCTTTCAAAATGATTTTCTTTTTGTCATCCTCTCAAAATGATTTATTATTCAAAAATCCATCTTAAGTTAGAAAATTCTATTAGTTTTCTCTTACGGTTTTTATGTGTTCGTTTTGTTTATATGATCAAAAACTTTAGTATGTGGATTAACATGAAAAGTTAACACAACAAATAAGTATATTTTAACATGAGATGTGCTACAAAATACCAAGATGAAAAGACACCCACAATTGTTTAGGTATCAACTATATTTTGATATACATTGGACGATTTTAATTAGCCAAATTACAAATGAATCAATTTAGTGGCGTACAAATCCAAATATTGTTTTACTGGTTAGACAAAGAGTTATGGTTTCAGTCTGTGAAATGCGTGTAGAAGAAAAAATGATTTTCACAAACATGATCCGTTTGTCTAAATATAAAATTATATCGTCTTGTGAGAGTTTGTTGTCTTGTAATAGTATTTGTTATTTACGACATCAAATTGGTTATTTTCTTAAATATGTGTAAATGTAATTTCACAATTTTTAAAAATAAATTTTAAATATCAATCAGTGTTACGTAATGATATTGATTAACAAAAATACTATGTATGAGAACCAATCCAAAAACGTTACTTGACAACCATATTGACATAATAATAGAAAATATACAGCAAACAAAAAAAGAAACAAACACCACACGCAATTATTATTTTAACCATTTCATAAATATAGTTTATTAAATAAAAATTTGTTGTATTAGAGAAAACTATACATTTGACGATAAAACTAACATATGTAATCTAACTTTACAAATTTTTAAATAAAATTTCATATATGTTAACTTATTAATGCATCATAAAGTTGCATATTTTTAAAAAATTTGTTAGTGGTTATGAATGCATAATAGGGTTGTGTTTTAAGAAAATATGTTTTATGGTGATTAATGAATCCTAAAATTGCATCTTTTATAAAAACCCTTTTTGTGGTTATTACTGCATCCTAAGATTGTGTGTTTCTCGAAACAATGTTTATTGGTTGTTTATATATCATAGGGTTGTGTCTATCGTTTTATGTGAAAATGTTTCCTGGCGTTGCGTCTTTTAAAAAAATACTGTTTAATTTTACGGAACGTTGAATTACTGTCTAAACACTGAAATGATATCTAAATTGTTTTTTTCTTCGTTACATAATCTTCATTAGTCTGATTTGGGTTATGTACTTGAGAATCGATAATAACAATGTTTTAAAATCCATTAGTGATGATTATGGGTTTATATTCGTATGCATGTGTGTCAAAAGTAAATTGTATCTTTTGGTTGTGTTGGCATCAAAATGTTTTTAAAAATGTAGTCTAAGGTTCTTTACCCCCGCAAAATCGTAGGAGTTTCGAGTCCTAGTTAGTTTTAAGGAAAATGCTTTGGTCAAATAGTTTAAAAGATCATTTCTACAATTTGTTTTCTACTAGAGTTCTAAACGAGATACGTTAGGGAGGACTGAATGATTCAATGGTTTATTGGAAATTTTCGAGACAAAATGTCACAATTCATTGACCAAGACTTTACACAAAACAACCAAATTCACAAGACTTGCTCAAGTCACAGCCTCACTAGGGCTGGGCAAAAATTCCGTCAGATCCGTTTCGATTCGTTATTCGTTCTAATCCGATCCGACGAATTCGAATATCCGTTAAATTTTGAAACAAAGCAAATACCAAATTGAAATATCCGTAGAAAACAAAACGCAAATATCATTTTAGAAAAACCGAATATCCGATCTGATCTGT